GGCTTCAATAGATCAGGCGTGGTAGTGAGCCGGGCGACGGCAGAGCCGCCTACCACACCATAATAATAATAATAATAATAATAATAATAATAATAATAATAATTTCCCTCCATGAATTTTAACGACAAAGAGAAATTCGGTTTAGAGGGGCTCGAGGTGTGCCGTGGCCAAATGGTAGGGGCTGCGGAATGAAAAACCTTAGTTCAGTAGGCGGATGGATGATGATGTAAATTCCACGAGGAGCTTTTTTGATCAAAGACTCAACCGAATTCATCGTACCCCGTGAAAAATGCCCCAGTCGTATGTGGATGCTCAAAGGATGTACAACGGGCGACAAATTCGGTGGACAGTGAACTGACTAAGTCATGTGGAAGCCTTTTTCTGGCATGGCAATGCTGCAGTCCATAACGCCTATGTTACACAATCATGGTTGTTGTTTCATGACATCCATCAGTCTCTTGATCAGTATGCAGTCCTGACTGGAATTTGGTAGGAAACAGTTGAAAGTTTTCTTATCACATAAGATTTAACAATACGAGACGTGAACGGAAGGTAACATATTTGAATAGTGAGCGGAATAATACCAGTCCGATAATTTTTCAAAATCTCATACAGAGTATGCTGAATACCTCTGTGGAAATTCTAAATCGGATTAATCAATGCACATGGAAGCTGAGCGAAGTCCATGAGGGTAACATCCGGTTTTTTTCGTATTGAAAGTTGTGATTTTTTCAGAATATTTTCGTTGCAATCAAAGAATTAATTACATGAAGTTTCGTATTTGAAATTCCCCTTTCTTTTAGTGTGGAATTTCACAAAAATTGGTAGGGTTAGTGCATCCACAAGCAGAGAAGGGTTGCACTACTTTTTCACCGGGTATTTTGCATTGCGTGTTGTATTCTTTCCATTGGCGTTTCGATCAGTTTCACTGTGAAATTGGACTGAAAACTGAATTTCGCCAATGATTGTAGAACTTGTAAATAAAGTCCAACCCGCATGTTCCTCACAATTTATCAACGAGTAGCTACGATGTGGATTTTACCCCATGTATCTCAATATATAGCTGAGTGTTGTAAACAGTGTCACTCGTGCATCTTCTCGACTTCTTTGTATACTTAGACTTCATGAATTCTTTTTTTAACTTGGTTTGAACATCTCGATATTCCCGTCACTCCTTCATCCGAATGGGATGACACACAACCGCCGCGCGAAAGTGAATGTTTAATGGTTGTACAAAAGAAAGCTGAACTATCTCAAATTTGGGTTATCAATTTCCTAATGTTTCATTTGCCATCCGAGGAAACTGTATTGGCTGATTGTTTAGCGTATATCCGTTGCTCATTTCTACCGAACCAAATCCACTTCCTTCACAGGTTGCTTGAACGGTGGAGGCCAAATCAACAGCTCCTTAGAAGGTGCCAGAACACTGTACGATCAACTAATCCCCGTCGCACCTCTGTCAACCAAAGAAACCCAGCGCCTGTACAATTACTTGGTCCAATCCGACCCAGAACATGTGAACTTACGAACCACTTACCGTCAAGTGCCAAAAATTGAAATAATTAATCCATCCGCTTTGCGTTGGTGATATTTTTCCCCCATACTTTGTGTTTTCTCCACTGTCTGTGTGATTCCGTTCAGCGTTTGTACATAAAGGCATATGTGAACTCAAGAGACGCTAGATGATCACCTTGTTTTTATTGACGTATTTTTTTCTATTTGTGAGAAGATCTTGGCAATTTTGCTTTACGAGGCAATATACGCTATGCTTGGATGTGTTCTGGTCGTTTTTACATTTTCGATTCAGTGGCTCCTCGCACTCTGTTTCATGGTCCATCGTTCGTTACCTCATACCATCTTTGGTCAGTGCGTAGTCATTAGGGGATTTTATTCCATGGTGCTGAACTATAACAGTTAACTGCGTTTAAAGTGCAGATGCTTATTTTGAAAGTTTATAAAATAGTTCTCTTCAGTTGCAATCGTAAAACCGGCCAGCTTTCCCCTCAGCGTTTGTTCATTTTGCTTTAATTGCCGACTAATGCAGTATATTCACACACACATACGCAGTTTTGTATGAGAGGGACACTTGTACAACAAAAGCTCTGAAGAATCAGGACATGACCAGACCAAAAGCCTCTGGGATTGCATAGAATGAAGAAGAAATGTTGAGCGGCGTTGGGTGTCTTTTTGCGATTCCTGTTTGTTGATAAGCTATACTAATTTTCTCTAACTGTGAGAATTTGGAGTTCGTTCAGTCGAAGAAACTTGGTAAAAAGTGTGAAAAGTGGATAGACAGCAATGCAGTGTGTGGGGTTGAATATCGTTATTATGTTTCAACATTTTTAATAAACCGATAAACTCACTGATGAGAAACAATTTAAGATTGTGTTCCTTAACGACAAGGACATGGGATACGACATTAATTGTTGATGAACTATTGGGTGGTTACAAATGGCCCAAATAAAGTACAAATTTGAACTGAACATTATTTTTTCCTGTTTGCTTCTTAGCCCGCGCCCTTTCGTGAGAACAATCAAATGAAGTGTACTGTGATTTCTCCAGATTGTTTCGAAATATCTTGTTGGCCACTCAAGTAAGATGTTTAGACCGGTCAGAGGTGCCATTAGGCGACCCATTTTCGATATCAGCAGGGATCGATCATTTCAATTACCAAGTAATGTCACCATACATTTTGGAACGAAAATCAAGGAACGATCGCCGGTTAGAAACTATCAAGTAAAGTTCTTCGGCATGGGTCCTTTCATCAAAAAGACCATGAACCGGGAAAAAATATCGATTGAATGCTCAGTTCCTGTGTTGGTACTCTTATGTGGGCGAGAATCAGCAGACAACGACACACTCACTCAGTTCTCAAACAAGGTTTCCTCTGCTCTCCGGTATAGACAAGCGTTTCCCGAAGTACTTTCCTGCTTTGTTTTGTTTTGCTCTGTATTATGCTAGAAGCCAATCAAACAATGTTGCACGATTTACATATCCTTTACTGCTACACAATGCTTACATGCATGGTTGAAAAACGATATGGAAATAATCAGACAAACATGTAAATGGAAACGGGTCACCGAATTAGATCCAGGATGATGATTAGGTCTTTGTTTCACGGGGCAGAATAACTTTCCCTGGTTGGTAATTATCGCCTCTTCATTATTCCGTGGAGATGGCTCACATCACCTCTCGCTTGATGCGTTTTTATGTCTTCAACAAGTGTTTTTTATGACTGAAGAACTTGGGAATCTGTGCGCATGGCGTTTTTCAGCAACCAACTCTACGCATCCGGACATAGTTCCTAGTTCTCTCTGTGTGTTCGGAAACTCAGTCACATTTCTTTACTGCCCTGCTCATCCTATACGGATTGCGTGTATTGTGTTTACCACTCTTTTTAGATACTTATAGGTATGATTTTCACAAGTGAAAATTATCTGATGGATCTGAGATCCAACATCACCGCACATGCGCGGTTAGGAGATTCGACAATCGGGGCTGTGTCGCAAGGGGAAGCAATTCTGCCAACAGCCCGTTAGCTTTCAGGTAATGGGATAATGTTTATCTTTCAGGTAGTATAATGGTGGGGGTGGGTGGGTGTATGGGAATCGTTGGCTGGCAGAACAATGCCAAACACGCACAAGCTGACTGTAGCTGTCTCCTTCAGCCTAAACTCTCACCTTGATGTGTTATCCTGTTCAAATGGGGACGATCACGTTGCACACAGCTCATATGCAAATTTTCTTTCTCTCACACACCAAATCGATGTGGCGAGTTCAGCTGATTTAGGTCGCCGTGAGAATTAGCAGACACTTCTTGCACAGCCATGGATGTGTGCTCGGGCGCACGCGCGCACTTATGTCTTTGAAAGCTGTAAAAGCCCATATGCGCACGTGCGTCCAGAATTCGAACGCGTAAATAAGTTTCGATTGGACTGCGATTATCTTCGTCTGTTCTATTACACTGCGTGGGCGTGAATTAGACAAACTGGATAAAAAGACTAAGGGTCGCCTATTTGTGCCAGTCAGTCAATCATTATATATGTGCGATCAAATTGCCACATTCATTATTCACGAATGAGACCAATGCCCAAAATGGCAGATCACATGCGAACCCCTATCCCCAAAGTGATCGAACCACCAGTTGCATGCACCGTAAACTCTCCGAAACGAACGAATTCAAATATATCCACATCATCGCATCACATAATGTCATCTGCGACGAATGCTACTTCAGTGAAAGATAATGCCAATTTGGCATTTGTTCGAGAAGAGACCGAGTGGGAACAGTGCTCGCGTAATCCCGACGTGGCTCGGCTGGTCAAAACACGCAATCTGATCGAACGGAATCGATTAGCCGTTGTCCGGTCTCAGTTAGACCGTGAATTAGAGCGGGAGCTGAAGCGTTTATCTTTGGAACGCAAGGAATTTTCGGACGTACTGGAGAATCTTCAGCGCCGGCGAACTGAAAGTCGTCAGATGAATGTGCGACGGAGTAGTAAGGCACCGTATTCCATGATGGGTATGGTAAGCAACAGAGGTAAACAAGATCGAATGAATCGGTCTGGTCAGTGGATCGCTCCGACTTTGAGTGTGAAATGTGTCGAGCCTGTTTCGGACCCCAACAGACAAACCTCATCTAGTTCGATTCAATCTGAAGTGGATCGGGCCAGTTCACATCGTGGATCTCTTTCAAGTATCATGTCATTACCGGAACTTTATCGACTAGCGACCCCCCACGTATTGTCGACAAGGAGACAACCGATTAAGGTACCCACTGTGAGCAAACCACAACTGGAAGTGCCCAACTCTCTCAGCATTCCGTCTAGATCCTCTTCGGATTCTATGTCAAATGATACCACCCCGGGAACCAGTTCACTGTCCTGAATGAACCTCAGTGTTACGTCATATTTCTCCCGTCCTGACAATATCAACCTGGTCAAATCAAGTGCAGGCCCGATTGTTCAACCGCCCGTTGCTCAAAATGCAACTTATCTGTTCCACACAAAATGATCATGGAAAATCTTTGAAGTGATTTTTTTTCCATCCCTCTGATTTCGTTTATCGGACTTTCATCCAATCTATCATGTCCCCTGAGAATCACATTTTCTGTAAGTTCGAATCCACTTTACCGGCTGCAGAAATTGCCAAGTTCCCTTGCAAACGATTATGTATTTCATGCGTTACCACATATCTTTTTCCGGAGGTTCTGGACAAAGTCAGCAAAACCTCTTCCGTTATATCTGGAGTTTATACGGTTTATTCGGAATGAAAGTTGTTTATTTTACAAATATTCGATTGGATTGTATGGCACCGAACAATAGAAATGATGATAAAAAATAGCTTCTGTCTTTTTTAAAGCTTGGTTTTATATCCGGAAACGGTTTTTCTTGATGTTCTTGATGGTTCCGAAGAATGCTCAATTAGCAGCTTGTGAAAAGTCCATTCATAAATTCCCTGAATTCGGGGAGCTTTCTTTTGATCATCGACTTCTGAATGGAACTTTCATTTCTTGATTATTCGTCTGATTGGTAGTTTGGGTTATGTGATAGATTGAATTCTGTTGGTTCGAAACTCCAACGTGCCAGATGATTAAGGATAGAAACCTAAAATTATAACGTCAAATTGCATGTATTGATACCACCCGATTCGGCTGTTCACTAAGCTCACCAGTTATTCTATAATCAAAATCCATTTATTGGTGAAGAGTCAAGTGTGTTTGTGCGTGGCCGAATTTCAGCTGGTTCTGTCGTACAATATGGCGATGGAACAATCACAATTGTCTTAGAAAAACTCCACTCACGGACGTCCGAAAATCGATGTTACCACAATAAACAATATCAAGATGCTGGATTCATAAATCTTGGGGGAAAAACGGGAATCGTGTACTGGTTTGAATTGTGCATGCCCGTAAAATATACGGGGGTACTCATCCGGTGAATCTGAAGGCATAGGTCCGGTGATGCCTTTTTGGGTATGTAGGAGAAGCAGTTGAGTTGTGACATCCCTTAAGCCCAAAAAATGTTTGATATACGGAATGCCTAGCGGCAGGGAAAATATATTCGATTTGTTCATATTTATTGCTTCAAAGTGCGACAAATAATTTATGAACTCGCACATTCCCTGTAAAGAACCTCGTGAACGTCGTTTACGAACTCAGCTGTTTCCATCAATAAAATGTATCTATCCTCAGTGCTGCGCTTTTTAACAAAATGCTAAAGCAGTGTCTCACAAACAAATGGTTTTAGTGTGAAAATTTTTCACTTCTCAGGGAATTTTGTGCTTTCTCTTTTTTGAGGTCTTTAAAACGCCTACGTATTTCATATTTAAATTCCCTAATAAATCCGTACGTTCTAATCAAAACACGTGTCCTGTTTTTAGCCACATCTACCGTTCGAAGGTACTATTTAATTCACACATGTATTTATTCTACAGAGTGGACCCATCCTGAAGAACGGTGAATACAAACAGAATGCTAACGAAATCACGTGGCCGAAACTTTGAAGATCGCGTAACTAGTCATCTTTATTGGTTTCGGCTGTTTGAGTTACCTGGTTGGTTCTAGTTTCGGATCTAACCACTGGATAAATCCCTTAACTGAGATTGACGTCGTTCAAACACACCTTCAAATTCAGGTGAATTTATCGGAAAGGCGAGTTGAAAAAATTTTGAAGTTTCTAGGGAGTATGTTGCAACAAAGCAATCGTCCCTGTTTATCTCCAGATAGGAACATGTTTGCCAACTTGATTTCCCGGAAAACAGTAGCGGACGAGTCATGTAGTGCAACAAAACATTTTAATGAAATTCACTTTAAATTCCAAGCTCGGAAAACTTAATTTTGGAAAGGATGAGTTATTGGAAACCTAGGTTGTGCCATGGGATTGCGCAAATATCACAATGCGTGGTGCATTTCTTCAGCCCCACTGATTCAAGTAAACGGACGACATGGTAATTTGGCGTCCCTCAGCTGGCTCGTGAGCTTTGTCAACTCTTGGGCTGTCTTATTCAAGAATTAGTTTATCTGAGCTCCGAACTGTACTGTTTCCATTATTAGACAGTTTTAGTGGCTTCTTAGAAACTGTTGCTAATACTGACCGCATTACCAAGGCTGATTTTGTAAATTATCTCAAAATTACCTTGTTCTATAAGCTTTCCTGGTTCACACGTTTGCAAACATCTACACTAAGGTTCGAAGACTGTCCCGTAGCAGTTGTATTCCCTCCCACGACTATCTTGGTTGATTGTATTTACATGGGAGACACCTCATCGAAAACACGTAAAATTTTCTGTTTACTTATAAAGCCTATTTTGACGTGAATTAAGTCACGGAATTTGGATAATGGTGATAGAGAAGTGGTTCTAACCGAGGCGTTGCAATATTTAAACCGGGGATTCAAAGGTAACACTGTAGCACATTTTCGCTCAGGAACTCTTCACTCATCCGTTCAAATTCATGCTGATTTCCACTTGGCATGATGTTTAGGTGTACAACACTCCCAGGGAAATTAGTTCACAATGATGTTAGAGTGCCGATTTCTCTGGTCCAATAGAAACTACTGCGTTTTGCATGTGATCAACATTTTCATCTCGGTAAGCTAGTTGATGTGATGTTATTTTCAAAGTTTTGGTATTATGGGCTCACTGTTCACGTGGTCGACATTTCATCGGGGTATATAGATAGCCGGCTCAAAACCACCGATAACATATGATGCTTCATCAGTGACCAGTTTTGGCAATTCGCCATCAGAGATTGTTATTCACCGGTATTACTTCACGGGTCACGGTTCTTGCTGTGATATTTTGTCCTGGGAAGAAGTACATAACATTACCTACCTTGATAGAAAGATGGACGCAGATAACACAAACAGCTCATCCACGGTAAATGTTACTTGTTGGTTTTCATTATATTACTTGACTGTAGTATGTACCTACAGAGATACAGCGGAATTTTTCCGGAAATAAATTGTGCAACACTGTGCTGCTGTGTTCTTTATTCAAATGTTGATGTTGCAAAGAGTGATTTAGAAATGAGGTTTGGTGCTCGTATGCTGAACAACCGACCGTCGTAAGGATATCAAATATTGGTTTCAGTTTGTACCGGTAGTAATGGAGGTACTTCTTTGTGTTCGTTATCCTCAGGCTGGTAATGTTCAGTTTTCCCGTATCACATTTTCATTTGTGTCAGGGTTTTTAGATGCTGCATTGTACCAGTTGAGATGCAGCGAAATCTGCCTTGGCATCAATTGTGCAGCCTAACTTTTTTGTGCTCTCTCTTCAAGTTTATCTCGGGATAAAAATGCTTTGATATTTTATTTTATGTATTATTACCTTTATTATTATTATTATATTTTATATTTAGGATTTTTACCTAAAAGAGCGGTGCATTTAAAATATTTTTTCGTTGTATTACCGTCATCCGACACTCGATTCTTTGGTAATTTGGTTTTAGAAACAAATCAGGATGGACAGCGGTAATATAAATAGTACCTCACCTACTGTTGTATGAATCTAGAATATGGGTATCGTTAAGCTGGACGTAGAGAAAGGACTCTATCGGTTCAATAGCGATCGAAGGAGAACGAACTGAATGTGCACGCAGATGGTCTCAAAGAAGTTCTCAAATATGTTCTATTGCAGTCACGGATGCTGAAGTCGCAGTCAGACCTGGATCTTACAAGGCAAAGTTCAATAAAGAGTCCTGATTCTTCAACGTTAAGGCTGAATATTGACCAGACCAACTACAAAATGTGTTACTAGCGCAGTTATGAAAATTTCAAAGTGCACTGTAAAGCCGCTTGAAACCTCCCGTCCAGCTCGGGAACCAACTTGAACATAATGGTGCGCTCATATGTTTACTCTGACAATGTCACTTTTCATTGATGGGGACCAAAACAGGTCTGCATCACACAAATGGAAATCATTTATAGAAAGTTGTTATTTTTTCAATGACAAAAAGGGAACGCAGTTATAAATGAAATGGGATTTTACAATGCTCATACGACCCAATCCAGTCTTCAAATATCAATCGAGCACTTATATAGCCATTTTTATTCAACCAAATGGTTCGTCTAACCCCAGGGAAGGAATATTATCGACATGCTTAACGTCTGGATTGTTGACGAGTGATTCGATTGTTTGCTAGCACACATGAAGGAGGTTGAATTCGTGTAGTTTAATCGTAGAAGCGAACAAAAAATTCAGATGAATGAGCCGTTTTTATCGCAACAAATCCACTTTTAAAATATGATCGACATGATCGATTCTTTGGAAGAGCAATACTGGTGCACCCTACCAAGCACTAAATTAGACGATATATCTCAAGGAATCATATAGAGATAACATGATCAGTTATGCGATTGATAAGTATTCGAAAACCCAATAATCAGACAGACCACAAATTGTGGACTAGCGTGAATAGCAAGCCCAATCTTCGATACAGTGAGTTGAACGACTAAATGACTGACTGAAGCGGTATCTATTGGATCTGATGCTTCCACTTGTTTCATCTCACACCGTTAGAATTAACAGTAATTGTTGAATAAACCCGAGAAAGTTTATCAAGAGAATGTGAGGTTTGCAATGTATCGAATCTACAAACTGATTTCACCACAAAATGGGTGACCTGATTGTAATGCCAACCAAATTAAACGATTTACGCGTAGATAAGTGAAAAACATAGGGTTGTGCAAAGCACCCGCTATCGTTTCTCTGCATCTGCACACATGCATACTACTAGTATCAATATGGTTTATATAATAAGTGATATAATGAGACTAGGGCGAAGAAAAGATTGATAATTACAGCGGGAAACATAATGTACGAACAAACAAAAATGGCCTAGGGTAAATTACCAAGGTAATGGTACTGTCATTAAGTATTCACGCTGT